CTTAGGGACTCTAACTTACTTCTGTAACATGAGAATTAAGGGCAGAATTGAAAAACCATTCAGAAAACAACAACAAAATTACATTTCTTACTATTCCTAAACTAAATGATAGGCTCACGTTTCTGGTGACATAATTCACTTAGCGTTCTAGAATATACTGAACTAGTACTTTAGAAAATCAAGTCAAGGGGCTGGGGATTTAGCTCAGAGGCACAGCGCCTGCCTGGCAAGCGCAACGTCATGAGTTCGATTCCCGGTACTGGAAAAAAAAAAATCAAAAAACAAAAAACAACAACAAAAAAAAGAAAATCAAGTCAAAGCATTCAATCAGAACTGAAATCAAGTGTACAGTGATGGAAATTATGAAAGAAATCAGACAAAAGTATGTGATGTAAAAGTTACGTATCACTGCACACATAAGGGAAAAAATGGTAAATAAAGACTTTCTCTGCACAACAGACCTAAATGAAATAGTGGTGAGCCATGTCAGTCCCATATAGCAATTCCCTCTCTATCCTAAAACACTTTATGGGGTTCCTACTTCTAGAGTCCATCAGAATTCCTCCCATGGCCCACAAAGCCATCAGGTCATGGTTCTAGCTCACTTCTCCAACTATATCTGATATATGGTCTCCCATCTCAACCACCCTAGCCGCATAGGCTCCAGAAGGCCCTAGCTTCCTCTTCTTCTTCAAATATGCCAAGGTCTTTCCCACAGTCTGGTCCTTTATGGTCACTATTTTCTCTGGCTGAAGTATTTTTCTACTGTGCATCAATGAGTGGTTCATTTTCATTTATCTGGTCTTAATTCAAATATGCCACCACTTAAGAGTCTGGCCCCACTATTCTATCTAAAGTTGTATCACTGAATTACTTAGATTTTGAGTACCCTATTTTCTTTAATGATTATTAAGATGATAACTTTTATAATACTGAAAAAGTGTTATCACCTTAACAGATGTTGTTGTCTACATTTACAAAATGACCTTTTCATCACAAAATACTAAATATACTGTAAGACGTGTGAGGTTTCATTATTATAGCTTCAGACAATGACATAAAATTTTATTTATCTTAATTGTTTCTGGTCACAGAATATCATGTGGAACAAATATAAAATGTGTGCCATGTCTGAATGAACCCAACAATTTGCTTTATATAACAACACTTTCACTATTTTATATAACAACATTTTCACTATTCAATTGATATTTTTTCCTATCTGTGAAAATTATTTAAGTATCCTGGGTTAGAATAAACACACCATAATTTTTCCTTCTTTCCCTTCCTTCTTCTTCTTTCTCCCCTCCGCCTGAGATGAACACTGAGCTGTATCTCCAACCCAGCTCCCCTACCCTGCCACTGCCTTCTAAGACAGGGTCTTGCTAAATTATCCAGCTGGCCTTGAACTTGTGATCCTCCTGCCTCAGCCTCTCCAGTAACTGGATGTCATGGTTTAGATCTAAAATGTCCCACAAAAACTCTCACGTATTCAGAGGTGGGGTTTTTGAAAAGTAAAATAATTGAGGATTAATCCATTCACAAGTTCATGACTGAACACGCTGCCAGAGGTGGGGCCTGGTTAGAGGTGGATCATTTACAGACATGACACAGAAGGATACATTCTTGTGCCGGGCTTCTCCCTTCTCTCCGCTTACTGCCTGCCAGGGGTTGAGCAGCTTTCCTCTTCCATGCCCTTTCACCATGACGTTTCTGCCTTGGAACCAGCCAATCTTGGACTGAACCCACTGGAAACTGCGGGTAAATAAACCTCTTTTCCCTTAAATTACAGGTGTGGGTTACTGTGTCCCACAAACAAGAAAGTTAACTAACATCCTGGGATTACAGACACACAGCACAACACCTGACCCACATCACAATTTCTGTCATTAATATTACTGGAAATAGTTTTTCTCATTTAATGGTTTCCAATTTGGCAGGGTTTTTAGAAATAATTTAAATGTACTGAACAAGGAATAGTTGTTTTTCTCCCATTATCTAGTGTAACCACATTGTACATCCATTTGTTTACTTGTTTATGATCCACCTCCCTGCTTAGGATATAGGGTCTGCAAAGGCAGAAACTTTAATTTTTTTTTTTTTTTTTTGAGACAGGGTCTCACTATGTAGTGCAGGCTGGCCTTGAACTTATTAAGTAGCCAAGGCCAGCCTCAAACTCATGGCAATCCTGCTTCAGCCTCTCGAGTGCTGGGATTACAGGCATGCACCACCTTGCCAAGTTAAATTATCTTCTTTGCTGTTATGCCATAATTTAATTTACATTTTAAAACATTCACTCCAACTTCTGGGTAGCAAATGGATTCCAGGAAGCAAACACAGAACAGAACTCTCCTGAAATATCCAGATTAAAACAACCTAAACATTTAAGAGTATGGTGTTAGCAGTTGAGATATTAAAAATAGGCAAATTTGACATACATTAGTATATCAGTGAAAGAAACCATTTATTAGTTAAAAGAGGAAATAAAGTCAGGTTTCTAGCATGAGCCAGTGGTCATGCCATTGGTTGAAACAGACAAGACTGGGGAAGAAACAGATTTAAGGAGCAAAAATAAAAGCAGGGTTTTACTTTCAGATGTGTCAAGCCTGAAATGGCTATTAAACATCCAGATGGAAATGTCATTTAGGCTACAAGCTACCAAGACAAGAGCATAAAGGACAGATGAAAGACAGCTAGGAGAATACATTAACGAAGAAGGAAAGAGGGAAGGAGAGAGGGAGAGTGAGAGGGGGAGGAAGAGGCCCTGGGCCCTAGGATCTGCCAATATGGTAAATGGGCTTCCTTCTTCTAGCTCCCTCCCACAGTAACTAATTCATTAAAGTATTTTTTAATGAAACTATAATACAGTCATCCCTTGGTATCTACAGGGGATTGATTCTGGGACCCTCCATGGACAGTAAAATCTGAAGATGTCAAGTCCCTTATATGAAATGGTGCAGTGTAAGAAGATTTAAGATGTGCCATATACAGCTACCAAATACCCACAATGAATGTAAACATTTATGTCACAAACATGAGCTATGAATAATGGTATGAATAAAAATGAGGAAAGGGGATTTGGAGATGGAGGGAGGATTAAACAGAAACAAGCTGTGTTATGTATAAATGTACCTACTCTTCAAGATGAATGTAAACTTCGTGTACTGCAAACACATTTTAGTAAAAAAAAAAATTGGTGTAGTACCTGCATATACCTATACATATCCTACCATATACTGTACTTATAATACCTAAACAATGTAAACATCATGTAAATATTTCTTATACTGTATTGTTTAGGGAATTACAAGAGAACTCAGAATATGTTTAGGATAGAGGCATACAGTAGGTCTAAATATACTTTCAATGTGAAGTTGCCTGAATTTGTGTCTATGGAATCTGCAGACATGGAAACTGAATACAGGGGGCCAACTGTATTGTCATCAAAAATATCTTAACTATATTCTGCATCCCAATATGTATAGGATACTATAGACCTTTAACTTTCACATTTGACCATATTTGAAATATTTAAATCATAATCTCTAATACAATCTCTGGAACTCCTTCTGAGAAAAGGAATAGAATAGGAAGCAAGCTGCCATTCTGAACATAACAGAAATAACGTCATTAAATATATTAACAGTGCTTTCAAAAGAAACCCAATCCTGTAATTCTAGCACTTGGGAGGCTGAGGCAGGAGGATCGCTAGGAGTTGAAGGCCAGCCTGGGCTACAAAGTGAGTTCAAGGCCAGCCTGAACTACATAGCAAAACCTTGCCTCAAAAAGAAAAAAAAAAAAAAAAAAATAATAATAATATAAACAAACCATATAAAAAAGGCTTTATGTTATAATGCATACCATACATTTTTCCTTACACAAATAAAAATGTTACAAAACCATGCAAGTCTCAGTTTAAGAAATTTTAGCAACTATCCTTCCTGTTGTTTTTGGTTTCTATAGACATGAACAGAGGCAACGGTGAAAAAAATTAGGACAAGGTACTTAAATACCTCCTATTCAGAGCAGAAAAGTGAGAAATAGTAGGCAGAGAGGGTGAGAACTGGAAGCACTGAACTGAAGTTATGCTTCATAAGTGATTTAGATTAGGTGAGACACAAAAACACTAAATTTTCATTACATCTTACTTCCTGCACAACAACAAAGTTCAGTCTTGGCTTAACCTAAAGAAAAAAAACTTTATATTATTAACTGGCTTTCCCATTACCTGACTGTAAATTCATATACCAAATACTGTCCTCCAACATAATTTACATTACCAGGCTTAGCACAGTCTAATATAAAGCTACTTTCCTAGGTATGAAAAACATCTATATTTCTTTGGAAACAGAATGTATTCTTCACATATGTGAATAATTAATATCTAAAGACTGAAGTCTAGGCAAATGCTGCTCAATAAAATTGAACATAATTTATCAGCTTTATAAAAATAAGAGGTACTAAAAATACCAAACAAATACCAACTTATCTGTAGATGAGAATGTTAACATCAAACCTCACTGAATTCCAATTTAGTCTCATTCTACTAAGAAGCTAAAGACCATTATTCTAGCGACATTTCTTTGTGTTTGGTTCTTCATCAGTATCATCACTGAGAGTCTACATATAGGTGAAACTGGGCCTCTGAAACATATAGTTTCTACTAAAAACAAATAATTACACTGGGAATGAAAAACCCATTTCATGCATGGACCATGCAGATCAAGAGGAATACTTCTTTTTAAAGAGGAATACTTCAATACAGAAGACACAAAAAAATAAGGTAAAAGAATGATGTCATCTTATACAACAAATCCTTTATTAAATTTTTACTTACTCCAAAAAGAGTAAAGGAATAGGTAATGATCAGCAGTAAAAATTTTGTTATATACCCCAAGTAAGTTTTCCCCCTATAAAATCAACTCTTCTATATAGTGATATAATAGTTGGTATAAAAACACATTTAAGTTTGCAACCTGGAATAACTTAATTATTCTTACCTTTGCAGACACTCAAAATCATACCGCCTGAATTTTGCACTTCATCAAATTTGGCAAATATCATTTCTAATCTGAGAATAAAGAATAAATTGTTTTTACATAGAGATGAATAAAACAATTTCTTCTGCTATCTTCCTTAGAAAAAACAATTCTAGGTATCCAACTATTTTTTACAATTATCTCACTCACTAAAAGAAGACCCAAAACCCATCTCTTTTCAGTTGAGAGGAAAAGCCAAATACAGGCAGGACTCTACATACTTGTAGGTATGTCTGTAAAAACACAACTTTCACATAAAGCAGTTTTGCAGTAAAACTGCTACTCCAAATACAGCAAAATCTTTCTAGTTAAAACCTTATAATAAATTCATTTAGGCACCAATATAAACTTTTAAAAGTATATAAAACTATCTAAGAAAATTTAAGGCAAACATAAAAACAATGAAATGTAAAATATTAGAAATGAAAGTGATGCTGTGATGACTGATAATGTGATGCTCTCTCTCCCTACTAACCTATTTGCATATTATACCAATTTCACTGCCACTACTACTTTTATATTCGGGACAGCTACTCTTTCTTTATTTCTGCTATTACTTCTTTTTAGTTAAAGATGTATTTCTTACACCCCAGAACTCAGGAAGCTGAGGCAAGACAATCACTGTAAGTTCGAGAGCTGCCTGAACTACCCAGTTTTTGAGACTGTGTCTCAAAAAAACAAAAAAAAAAGTTTCTTATTACAAAAGTAACACACAAAATTAGGAAATGTAAATAGGAATAAAGAAAAAAGTATTTACATTCTCATCACTTAAACTTATTTGTTTTTACTGTATATTCATATATAAATTTTCTTCAGAATGAAATGAGATCACGCTGAGTGCTTTTTTTTCCATAAATCTGCATTTTCTCCAATTCTTTAATGCAACATACTACGGTTTATTCTTAAATTCATGAGTTTAAGATTTAAGATAGGGAAGAGGGCCACTGTCAATCTGTCTTCATTGACAATTATTTTTCTATGGCTTACCCTTATGTTTGTGTCACACCTTTTATTTCCTAAAACTTTCCTTAAGCATTGGTCCACATTCTGTCATTTCTTACAAACTGAGGGTATACATACTTTTTGAAGTATTAATATGTTATTAGCTAATTCTAGTAATAAACAACTAAAAAATTTTAGTCGCAAATCCTTTAAGGGATTTTCTAAACCATAACCTCACTTCCTATCCCTACTAATTCAACAAATACTAGTTACATGTCTGAAAACACTTCAACGGAAAGACACAGGATCCTTCATCCTACAGAGTAGTATCTTTCAAAGGGGTGAAGAGACCCAAGTCAGGCTACCCAAATATATTTTCACAAAACAGAAGGGAGTGCTGGAATTGGAAACTGGCACTCAGAATGAAGTCCAGATAGGCCAGAACAGAAAGGAGAGGATTTAGGAAAGGTGTATGAGGAAAAGAAAAAAAAAAGTAGAGTAAGATGTTCAGAAGCATGAGATTGGGCTGAGGATGTAGTTCAGTGGTACAGTGCTTGCCTATTATGCATGAGACCCTAGGTCCAATTCCCAGCACCTCATAAAAAGAAAGAAAGAAAAAAGGAAAAAGAAGCGTAAGGTTAAAACTCAGCTATAGATCAAGAAAATGGAAGTAGAGAATTTCGGACAGAAAGCTCAAAGAAGGGGCCAGTGGCACATCACCCGCCTGGCAAGTGTGAGGTCCTAAGTTCAATTCCTGGTACCAAAAAAAAAAAAAAAAAAGCTCAAAGAAAAAGAGGGTTGGCAAGAAACTGAGGCAGGGTAGATAAAGCATTAAGCAATGAATGGATATGTAGACAGTTTTATTGGAAAGACAAAACAACTGAAATGGTAAATATAACAAGAATTGGGGCAAGGAAGAATAAACAAGGGTCAGACTGGACAGTACTACTCAAAGGTTTCAGACATCAACACTGGGCTGAAAAGACACACTGAGAAGATGCTTACACCTCATGCCCTTCATCTTGCTGCCAGTTCTCATATATGTGTTCTCTTTGTATAACTGTTCTTCTCTCTCTTCTCAAGTCTCTCTTTCTAAATTCTTCTCATTTTACAAACTTTCACATGAAATTACAATATAACTTGTATCTGGTATTTACTGAAAAGATTTTACTCCCTTGTTCCAAATTTTGTAAGAGGCAAAAACACAACTTTAAACTAATAAAAAGCAACAGTACAAGTTTCCTCCTATGTAGGTGGCCCTCACTGAATCCCCAATTCCCAACCATTAAACTCCACAGACCTATTTCAGAAAAGCAAATCTGTAACAGGGAACTGTTACATATAATATGGTGAAAAAGAAAGAAAGCAAATCAGGAATAGAAAGAAGAATCTGGGATCTTTTAATTAATCCAGGGATATAAAATAGCAGATTCAGTGGAAATAAACTGTAACATAGGCAAGAATATAGCCCACACAAAGTGTACAATTCAACAGTTTTTAGTGTATCTACAGAGTTGTGTAACTATGGCCACAATCAGTTTTACAACATTTTCATATTCCAAAAAAGAGCACTTGCCTAGTATGTATAAGGGATACAAGGCCCTAGGTTCAATCCCAAGCAACATAAAAGAAGAAATAAGTCAGAGTGGGAAATGATATTTGAAACATATAGCTGGCAATGGTTTGTACCCAGAATATATAAGGATATTCTATAATGATTTGTACCTACAACATACAAGGTAGTCCCACAAATCAATATTTTTAAAGTACAAACAACCCAGTATAATAAAAAATAGACAAAAGATCTACAAATGCTTTACATAAGAACAGGTCCAAATGCCTAATATATGAAACACTGTTCTTGTTTATCATTAATTAGAAAAATGTGCATTATCTCCTCAATCAAACTGTGAAACATTCACCAGAAGCTTAAATTTAACAAGACTCACAATATAAAATATTGGTGAAAATTCTAATTTATGGATACGTGTAAACAGTGCTAGTGAGAATGTAACCACTCTGGAAAACTAAGCTTGAACATACTCTGTAACTCAATAACTCTCTTGAACATATTAAAAAGAATATATTCATATGCATATCAAAAGACATGAATAAGAAAGTTACTAGCAGCATTAGTCAAAAACAAATTGAAAACAACTCAGATGTCTATATACAATATGGATTTTAAGATATGATCTATTCACATTAGAAAAATATACGGCTAAGAAAAGAACTGTAGGTGGATCCAATAACCCAAATGAATCACTAAAAGATAATATTAAAGCCGTGCATGTTGTTGCACACCTGTAATCTCAGCACTCAGGAGGCTGAGGCAAGAGGATCACTACAAATTCAAGGCCAGTCTGGGCTACACAGGTGGGTTCAAGGCCAGCCTAAACTATACAGCAAAAGGAAAGGGAAAAAAGTAAAGCTAAAAGAAAATAATGTTAACTGAAAGAAACTCAGACACAAAAGAATAAATACTACATGGTTCCGCTTACGTAAAATTTAAAAATAGGTCAAATAAACTACACTGTTGGAAGTCAACATCGTGGTTACTTTGGGGAAAGAGAAGAAGTAAAGATTAAATCATTTGGGGAGGCTTCTAGGATGACAGTGTTTGCTTCTTGCATGGTGGATACATGAATGTATCCATTTTGTTATAATTTATAGGGATGTACACTAATGCTTCATGTACTTTTTTGTATGGAACTCATACTGGAATAAAAGTTTAAGTAATAAAAAATAATTTCTACCTATTTGTGGTAAGGTATGTAAGAAGCTTAAAAGTTGTCACTTTGCCTTAACAACAAAAAAGGTAAAACTAAAAAATCAACAACACTCCTTAGATGCATGAAAGAAGTGAGGTCACTTTAATAAATACCTAGGAGTCAAACTGCTGGATTATGAGATAATTCTACATTCAATGTTTTGAGGAATTACAACCTTCCAAACTGGCATCATTTTACATTTTCATGATAGTTATAAATTAGAGGAGGGCAAAAACAAAGAATCACAATCTTCCCCAGGAGAAACTCATCAGCAGGAACCAGTGCCAGAGCATGGAAACCTGACCTATACCTGATAAAACGCTGGAGGTTCAAAAATAACAACTCAAGGAGTTAAGAACCCCACCATCACTGCCTCACCCACACAAGCTCACATACACATTTTCCATGTTTTACCTCCTGGTTTTCAGAGTAAATATCTGAGAAAAATACCATCATGTTTTCAGCAGAGGGAATGGAAAAGAAACCACTTTTGAAATATGCAAGCCCAGTATTACATTCTTTTTAATAAGGTCTGCCTTACAAGAAACTGAGTGCAACCTAACCTACTGGAGTTCTATCAAAATCTAAATGATCTGGCAAAATGGAAACAGCCAATTCCAGCTGCTTCAGTTATCCACAGGAAGGAATGGTAAGACTCAGCTCCCACCCCTTACAGACTCCCCCGTGAGAGAAAGGAAACAGCTGACTCCACCCGACTCTAGCCATCCTGTCCTATGGAGTTTGGGAAGGAAAATGAGAAACATTTGTGAATTTCACAGTCCAGAGGTGCAAACTCATTAAAGGACTAAGACCTACGTGAAGGACTACACACTTCCTCCTCTCACCTTACCATCACACTACTAAAGCCTGTTCAGGGCAGTTCCTTTAATCTGGTACATCATGTTCAAGATTAACAAAAACAAAAATGATAAGGCATATTAAAAGGCAAAAAAAAAAAAAAAAAAAGAGTACAATATGAGTAAACACTAACTATAAGAACCACACTCAAATGTGGTAGGTAGGGGCTGGGGATTTAGCTCAG